AGAGGGAAACTGCGGGGATGAGTTGGCAGATGATATTAGCTTGAGGGAAAGTGAAACCGCACGAGAAATTGGACGGCAAAGGTCCCGTGTACAATTGAGTAGAATCACAATCAGAACGGTGTGCGAACCAATTCGGTGACTGGCTGGTGCGGGAAAGGGACAGGGTAATGCGCGGACTTCTTTTTCGAACAAGGATCTGTTTGTTGTCTAGCCAATTTGATAGGGGATCATCACAAAGTCTGGTATCAACGCCACACACACACACACACACACACACACAAAAGAAATTTCCTTCCTAATAACTGAGCAGATCATATTCCCACTGATTCCGATTTGTTCAAAAGTCTGCCCCAAGTTTGTGATCAATTTCCCACAAAAACGATCTTAACGAATTCTTTTCTCTGAACTGATTAGTCTATCTTTTTGTTCCGTTATTGATCATTCAATAACACGTAAATCAACGCAATTTCGATCGTACAAACTTCTTTGCACAGAACTTTGCGATCTCATTGGAATAATCGTTCGTCAGAGAAGAAGAACGAACAGGAAGAAAATGATAGATTAGTACAGGAAAAAGAATTGGAGAACAGCAGGAATCCAAGATAGAAACAGGTTGCGGGAGGAAATAGGTAGCATAGTGAAGCGACAAGGGGAGATTAGTGTGAGCACAGCAAAAATATGCAGGTAGTCCATTATGTCTGGGCAAATAATGATCCATCGAGAATGCACAGTGGACGTTCAGATACGTTTAACTGTTCTCTTGGGAAACTTAGCCAGACCATTTAACAAGCTGACCTGAGAACAGGTCACGTGATCGTTGCCCCCACACATGAAATAGGTTTGTGTTAATTAATGAAAAAATTGAAACGAAAGAAAGCGAAAAAAACAAGGCAAATAATAAAGAGAAGGGATCATGCAACTGAAAAGATGTGTGCACGCATCACCTATGGCTAAAAACCATAAGCTAACTTGACCCACTCGACCTGTTTCACCGAACAGCAACAAGTCAATAACATTCTGCCCAGTCGGTTGACTCTGCAACATTCAAGAAGTAATCCCAGTACTATTCAGTTGGCTATCCCATTGCAAGTGCGCAATTAAGTCAAAAATTGTCTCACAAACCAACTGCAAATTTTAGAATCAATCTCAACTGGCAACAGATAGAAACATTCAAGCAAAATTTTGTAGGATACAATGCATTTTGAAGAGAACAAACAACACGTGAACCGGGCCGGTTATTCAGAACGGCAGAAGGAATCGGGATCTTCATCAGCGATGATGCGTTTGAAAACTTGCAACTTCATCGAACTCCGATCAACTAATGTGTCATACAGACTCCTGTTCAAATACGACATTAATTCGATTTTCTTTTCACGAGATAGTGGTAGTCAACAAATTCAATCGCCGCATACGTGGACAAGTCTACGGTACTCCATACGTACTGTACAAAGAACAATAGTTTGAGAGAACTAACTAAATTAGACACCTTGTGCGTTAACCGGTTAAACAGAGTCAATAGATTAATGAGCTAATAGTTCCACACATTATTCTGATACATTCGGGATGAAAATGATGAAATGTACTATTTCCAGATTTTGATGACAAACGATATATTCCTGATTCACGTGATATCCTTCATGTTACATTCATAACAAAAATCATGGGAAACACTGGCACCTGGCAGAATACAGCCCATACTGTGGGTTCTGAGCAACTAGAGAAAGCTTCAGTACGGTCGGGGGTGGGTGTCTAGGGTTGCGGCTGGTCACCATTCCCTTGCACCTCGCGAAATGCTCTCATAAAACCAAACCGCCCTCCTGCTTGCGGTTCATGCTTTGGTTAGCCGAAGGCTCCGGTTGTGAATTCCCAAAGAAAATTCGCCTGCCTTGACCTGGGCAACCTGGCATTAAT